AATTATAGACTCATACACATTAATTCCTCTCAAGTACTCAGCTTGGTTTAGGAACTGCAATAAGGTAGAAAACACAACAGTCAGATCACATGCCTGCAAGTTCCTTGCGCTAGCATCCTAATTTGCTAAGACTACAGCCAAAAACAAACTCATCAAGTTCAGTACTTGTTTTGGCGTCAGAATTTAAGGCTACTTGGCAATTACAAATTTTGTTAAGGTAAGAGAGAATAACAAAGGTTAAAAGACAATAATCTAGCAAAGAACAAATAAAGTTTGCCAGGCAGTAAGTAGTTAGTAGAAGAGCAAAAAAGTAAGCAGTTAGTAACTACTTGAAATTCAGATGGGCCAGAACAAGAAAAAGCAATGGCTAGGTTTTCAACAGATCAAAGATAATGCTCCCCTAATCAGAATAATCAAATGGAGGGAATGATGGCTACTCTCCTGTCATGCTATACTCAGGATAATATGGAAAATAACTTGAGAGAAATCATTTCCATTGATTGTCTCTGTCCTGACTGAGTTTGCAGTCCAATAAATAAACCAGAAGAAAAGAATGAAACCTGCTCTTTTAAGGTTCCAATTACAAACTCAGCTAATTAGTGATGCCGTGGAGAATATAATACTTCAGCTGTGAATGACAACTGGAGGGGTTTAGGTTCTTCCATCACTCAAATGTCACACAAATTAAAATAGCAGATCACCTTGGTCAAACTCATTCAGAAAGTGGAATGGTTTTATACTCCATTTCATATTAGAAAAAGGTTAAACTAGATGCTCAGAATTCATTCCATCAGATTCAACTTGCAACAGAATTTCAATGGCATGACAAGAAATGCTCTCTTCTAGAATGCTCAACAAAGAATCCTTAGTGCCTAACACTACTTCAGGTTCAGGCTATTCACAATTATAGTACATGCATCAAATATAAAGGTATCATCCTATTAACTATCCATGATACACCCCCCTAACCCACCCAAAAAAAATAGAGAAAGAAAACACGCATCAAAATCTTGAGTAGGACCAATGACACTCGTCCAAATGGCATTTACATGCAAGGTATACACATCAACATATGAAAATAATATTAAAAGATGTACCTCGTTATGGTCATGAAGCAAAATAGGAGTGTTAACCATTGGTGAAAAACCAATAGCTGGCAGGCCCAATTGCCGAAAATAGCGAGCATCTGTAGAGGCAGGAAAAATCTCAGGCTTCCCAATCTTTCCATTAGCTTTCTTGATAGCTTCTTCCAATAGAGTCCACCATGGATTAGAATTGTCACTGGCAGTTAGCAATGGCCTTCCCAGGTCATCATGTGTAGTAACCTTTTGCTTAAACTGCGACAGGAATAATTGGTTCAGGAAGCAACTTTGTGCAATGCAAATGGCAAACTGCCCCGTGAAACTACTAGGAGTGCTTAGCTTTGTAATCCTTTTCTTTTCCTAAACTTTTTATCACTTCTGTTTCCCTTGGAATTCACCAAAAACATTTAGACATTGACTCATACGATGTCACATTGATACAAATGTATGTATCTCTATCTTTGCCAAAAGGCAGGAGTGTTCAATGTCATAAACAAACCATAAATGTCGTCATATTGATTCCATCATTTTAGGATCCCATGAAATTTTACACTTACAGTTATAAAAAACATAGTACACCACTTTTCATTTATTGCCAAATACCATTTTGTTTTTCCAAGAGAGAAATGTTTCACTGTCACTACCTCAAATGTCATGTTTCTTGAAGCAGGTGCCCATTCCTCAGCTATCCGTTTCTCCAAGGATTCTGTATTGGCTGTTGGTGGTATTCGAATATCAAAACCAGCTTCTGCTTCAGAGGGCTGCAAATTCATGACGAAACCCTGGCAGACAAAAACAAGAACATGTGCAGGTTAGAGGCAGACATCAACTTATCACTATTTTTGTCCATGAATGTAAAGAGTATATATGGCTCTTGTCATGGCACACAAAGCCTACAGAATGATCATGTTAGAGGAAAGAGAACGATGGGGCCGAAGAACTAATTCACCTTGCATTAAATGATTGAGCATTTTTTTCATAGACAGTTTAGTTCTTTTCTTTAGCAACTCCAGTGCTTTAAGGGACTATGAGACAAAGATTACTGCACATTGTTAGCCATCATCAATGAAACAATGCATGTATGCTACAGCTTTGCAAATTGATAGATAACATATTTAATGTCTAATGATCACAACTCAAGCCTTCAAATTGAAACGTGCAAATCAACTTTTGCAATCAGTGAGAAGTTATTTCCATTGCAACAATGCTCATGACATACATCTCATATCCAGCAAAAGCTTCACAGGATGCTTCATATTAGTTGTCATAGACTGCGCATATCATGTATTATTATAAAGATTATAGATTATCCATTTGTTTAATTTTCCTAAGCGTTTTAGTAATGAGAGTGTCAAAAGAAATTAGAATAATCTCATACAAGCTATTAAGGTTTTAACCAAAACCAGCTCTAGTCAGTAAAGCCATGGTTACAGTTACAGATTCACAATAAGATATGCAATTGTAGACAATAATTTGACAATTAGATGCAATATGCGATATGTCTTCTCTGGTGTTATGACCGAAATCTGGAGCTAAACGATTGAAAAAAACAACTCTAGCTCGAGCACAACACAGCAATATCTGACTGAAAGACATAATTAGTAGTAATACATGAAAATAACTACAATGAGTTAAAGAAGTGAAGGTTTCTTCAGCAACTGATCATCTAATCTTATAACTTACTGTGGGAGAAGGCGTGCCAGCCTTCAGAAAGGCCACGTTAACTGAAATGACTTCCCCTTCAGCCTTCAAACCTGCCTTGACCAAATCAAACTGCGAAGCCCGGAACCTCCTGATACTCTCAATGCTCTTGAAAAGGTTCTCCATTGCACTGTTGTCATAGAGCTTCGCCCCATGTCCAGGAGCTCCAGTAGCCTTTATCACCAGCCACCATGGAGTCCTCTCCGCATAGAATAGCCTGTAATTCTCATTGGGCGAAGGCAACCCTGTTTCTCAAATCACATATTATCACCGGTAAGAGATAGCTGGACGACCAATTATCCAAAAGTCTAAGCTTAAAAGATCCAACTATTATATCTGACTGAAACACGTTTTTGGATCAAGGCTCAATATGATTCTTTTTCAAGATGGTATGTAATAGAATGACGCTATACCGCCAGTTTCCTTTAGCCCCTTACTGGTATCCTTGTCAGCTTCTAACTTCATCACATGGTACTCCATGTTTTTTAACAAAATAAACTGCAAAAAGTAGTTAAATTTCGTTACCTTCATCAAGCACTATATCAACATTCATATTCTTCAAGACATCAGAGTAAGCTAGCTTCTCAGCACCATCATGGCCACCAATCTCCTCATCAGGAACAAACGACAAGTAAAGAGACCGTTTTGGCTGAAATCCAGAAGACTTCAACCTACGAATAGCCTCCAGATACTGCATGCCAACGCACTTCATATCCTGGGAGCCTCTGGCAAAGATATTACCTTGTTCATCGATGTGGGCCCCAAGAGGAGGATGGACCCACTTTGAATATTCAGAGGGGACCACATCCGTGTGAGAGTTTAGGAGGATAGAAGGAAGGGAAGGGTCGGAGCCAGGCCATTTGAGGAGAACAACTGGTTTGCCTTTGACGAATTCAACGACCTGGGATTCTAAAGAGAGGGAATTGGCTTGGGATAGGATGAAGTGGGTTGATTTCTGATAGTCTGGGGATGGTTGGGCTGTGTTGATTTGGAGGTATTCTTGGAATCTTGATATGATTTTGGATTGCTCGTCTTGGCTTGGCGCTGCTGTTGAATTCGTGAGGCCTACAAGTAAAGAAAGGAATAGCAGATGAAGAAGTAGAAATTGACGATTGGAATTGCAAGGTTTTTCCATGGATTCGGTCGCTGCTTCAGTTTGGCTCTCACTTGGAGTACTAGGCGTAGTGGATTCTGATTACCAGTTGTCTACTTATATTTTACAGGGAAAGAGAATAAGTTTGTTCAACGCTTCATTGCCACTCACTGTTTTCTTTCTTCTTTTTTTTTCATTAATTTTTTAAATTTGCTTTTTATTTATAAATCATTATTAATTAAAATTTAAAAAAATTAAGTGAACTGATTTTCAAATATGTATTTGTTAAAATTTTTCATTTATCAAATATTTAAAATAATTAAAACCAAAATTAAAAAATTGACTAAAAAATAAAAAAAAAATTGGTAAGAAAAAAAATCAAATTAAGACAATATAATTCATAACTAAAACAAAAAGTATTAATTGATTATCTATAAATCAAAGATTTGTCTTATATGGTATTTTTTTTGGTACTTGTTGATACCATCAATAAAGTGAAAAGTAAGTACTAGTAAAATGCAAGTAAGAAATAAAAACTAAAAAAACCCTTAACAATTTTAAATGTCTTTATAAAAAAACATGATTAATAAATAATTTGAGGTAAAAATACTAAAAAACATTTCCCACACTAAGTCATTTAATTTAGATTGGGTTAAAAAATATGAAAAAAAAAAGAAAATTTTTATCAGTTGTAAGTAGAATTTTTAAATTTTATAATCAAAATTAGCAAAATAATATATATTCTTTTTTACAAAACAAGAATATAATATATATTCTTTAAAATATATTAGAATAAAAAACATAGATTAATTTCCTATTCTCATTTTAAAAATTAAAAATTAAATCAAATTTAAAATAAATATGAAAAGAGGGAAAAAGGCAAATAGAATACCTTTGCAAATTTGATTTAGGATTTTCTGTTTGCAAAAAGGGGAGAAAACTTAAAAGCCGATTTTGAGTTTGACCATGATTGAAGCTTTCCATGTTTGATTAGGATGTGGTTTGGTAATGACAGCAAGTAAGGTGTGAAATATAGAAACCCTTTCAAACTACACCCTCCAAGAATCCATACTTTAAGATCCTTATGATCAATCTCCTCCGTCTTTCCTTTATAAAAGGAATCGATCTCCTTCTTATTTCACAAAAACAAACTTTCCAGGAGAATCCCATTTCCAATGCCCTCCCAAAACGCACAAAACCCAAAAACAATGGATGATTGCATGAGAATCTGCATGAGAAAGCTAGCGCTTTGGTACACCAAAACGTTCGTACCCCTCATGACGCACGACGAGCTTGAGCCCATCATGGATACCATGGGTTTCGTCGGCCTCCCTCCGGACCAGGGAAATTCTACGGTCGCCTGGAAGGAGTACGTCTACAGGGCTTCGCCTCCGGTTTCCTGGCGGTCCAAGTCTTCCTCTTGCTTGGGTTCCATTGCAGGTGAACCGCCTACGACGGAGCCGCCCAGACCGAAGTTACCTTACCCCAGGATCGATGGGCTTCACATTTACACCTACCGCGCCTTCCTCGACGCCGTTAACTTTTATGTCAAGATGTACGATATGTCGGACCTCTTCCACGTTAGGTACGGATCGTTTTCTTTTTTTTCTCTTCCCCCTAGCAAGCAATTCTCGTTTTTTTTCTTTACAACTTTTCAATTCCATTTACTGTCTTGAAGTCTGTTAGTTGGAAAATCAATCGGTCTAAAGAGGAAGATTAATTATTTGTTCCACATTTATTGTGCACAACTTTCGGTTTTTCATTCTAACTTCACATGCAATTTGCATTTGAATGATGTTGCTACCTTGCAATTTTTCCTGCACATTGAGACAACTGTTTTCATAAAGTTCAGACCTTAGGCCTTTACACTAAAAAAACTGGGTCAATTTTTTTTTTTTTTTGGGAAACCGTTCTCAGAGGATATGCCTTTCTAATGATATTACTTAGTTTCATTGGTAACAACTATCTGCAAGCTTAGTCCTGTCCAAGTGCTAGTTTTAATCAGATTTTTGGCTTACTGATGATTTTCTTAAAGGTTCAAATGAGCTATTGCTTGTTTATCTAGCAGGAACGTGTAAATTTAGTCTCTTTGTAGTAATGTAATTGAGAAAACTGAGATTGAATATCTATAATTAGCAATTAATCTTAATGAGCTATCTAATTGAATATAGTAATTATCGACATGACATGCAATCAATGTGAAAAAAAAAATTACAAACTTTAACCTTTTGAGGAAAATCATATGGATTTGGTGAAATAAAAAATTATTTCATATTTGACGTATTAATATAAATTGTAATATAATAATTTTTATATTTTATACGTATTTAACATAAAATAAATCCAATACAAGTACACAAAGTGTGAGGTCCCTCTAAAATGCTTGTTAGAATATTTTCCCCCCTTTCTTCTCATTACTTTTTACTGTTATGTTTCTTCACGAGAAGGCTTTAACCTTATTAGGTTGTAGTATTTTGTTCAATAAAAAAAAAAATGCAAGGTTGATCTCTCTCTCTCTCTCTATATATATATATATATATTGTAGTATAATTTATTCTGAAAGAGGTAGGCGGTACATGTGTTCCCCTTGGAAATATCTTGAATCTTTTCAAATATAAAAATAAGTTAGCAGGCTTTACTAAAGCATCTTCACTGACAAATTCACGCAGAATCCTGGATATGAAATTGGTTAATGTTTCTCGAGCTCGATGACTTTGTGTTACTAATAGTTTATACTTTATGTTGATTCCCCTTTTTTCTACTTCAGAGGAATGCCTCTTCATCTGAGTCATGACCGCAGCAGGAAGTGGAGGCGTATGGAAGAAGATGATAGTGTCTTTGTCTACAGGGAAGGAACACTGGAACAAACAACATATAACTTATATCACTTCAACAAGACAAACTCCAGCAGCGATGGTAGCTGCAACGGCTACAGTTCCACAGTTATTCGGGACAAAGGGAACAACCCCCCTGTTAGCTGCTCTGTTCCATTGAAGGATATTATAGTATGTACAGTATGAACAGAAAGATGCTTGGCCACTTGCGTATAAACACCAGGTCCTTGAGGCTCACATTTTTGTCATGGTATTGAATTATTGATATAACCCAAAGTTGTTTTTTCGAGATTTTTTTAGAAACAGTAGTAATGTAGTTAATCACAAAGAACAATTTCGTATTAATATTACATATATACATCCCTTTTATCACCTTTAAAAAAGATGAAAAGAATTAGATTATATGCTTTTTTTTGTCATAAGAAGTTCAGAAACTAAGATAGTGTTTGGTTTTAAAAAATAGAGTTATTTTTTATTTTATTTTTTGAAAAATAAAAAATATGAATAAAAACATATTTGGTAATTGAAAATAAAATAAAATTTTAAGAAATAAAAATAAAAATAAAATAAAAATAAATAAAAATATAAAAAATATAATTTCATTTGAAAAAAATAAAATATGTACATATTTCTTTGTGTTTTGCAAGTTAACATATTGGAACACTTTTTAATGTCATTAATTAAAAAATATTTATTATATTTATAATTAGATACCTTTAATAGTAATATCATTGAATATTTTATTTATATTATTTATTTTTTACATTTTAAAAAAATAATTTTTATTTTTATTTTTATTTATCAAATACATTTTTTAAAAAACAAAAAATAAAAACAAAGAATATTTTCTCATAGACTTAGCTGGTATCACACTATCACTCGCGGGTTTAAATTCGGTGCAACCGACTTAAATTGGACCCCAGGTACTGTATTGAACCGAAAACGTGGGCTCAGTTGTTCTCACACGGTGTTCTATGTGTGTGGCTAGTGCTGGTCTCTACTGCACCCTTGTTTGTAAGTTTATCTGGGTTGGGCCAGATAGTTGAAGTAAAAGACACAATGTGCTATTAACAACTTAAAATCCAGATTGATGTTAAACGACATTTCTAACAAGTGGCAACCACTTCAGGGCGCAATGAAAGTGGGCTCACACCTCACTGTGGCCCTCTTGACCTAATTTCTCTTCATTTGTGAGTGGTGAGCCGATCCCAATAGTCGAAAAGCCTGTTCTTTCTGGAGTCCCTCTCCCCTCTTCATCTTAAAAAGTAGAGCCATGAATGTATCTTGACCTCTTCGACTGCTTACTATAAACAAATTTAAACCCCTTAAAAAAATATGTTCCGGGATTTTCTTATTCTTAGACTTTCCGCTTTTCTTGTCTGCCCCATTATACCCTTTTGGCCATGCTCTTTTAACTATGTTGCAAATTGCAGGCAGTTGACTCTTTTTCGGTCTCATTGCCAACTAGAAAGAAATGAAAAAAGAAAGCATACTTTCTTTTGCGTTGTAGACAAAGATACCCTTCATCAAGGTCGAGTGACTTCACAATGTGAACAGACTCCTTCGCCCTAGTTTTCTTTTTGTCTAAGGTCAAACTTTGTACTTTCCACTTCAGCTTACCAGGGAGTTTGAGGTCCTTTCTCAAGGGAAAAGGGTTTTCTTTATCCTTCTTCTCGCAACAATCCCCGTAAAGAGGGAATGAAAAAAAAGAAAAAAAGAAAAAGAACCATATTCAAGCAAAACTCAAAGTTCTCACAGGCCTCAATATTATCTCAAATGAGCTCCCTTCAGGTACAGTTCTCTATTTTATTCTACTGCTAATATCCAAGGTCACTTCCGAGGAGGAAGACTGGAAGTCAGCTACGGCAACATACACCAAAGAAACAGACGGATCAATAGTCCTCACAGGTACTGTCTTTTGCAATGTTCCATTTCCAGTTTTAACCACAGAATGCTCTTTTTGTATTAGTAACTAATCCAAATTGGTGTCAAAAGCTACAATTAATTTAAGCTAACAGCAATGGCCTAATCTTGCAGGAGGAGCTTGTGGCTATGGGGACTTTCACAAGGCCAGCTATGCGAAATACGGTGCTTGACTTAGTACCATGTTATTCAACAAAGGGAGTACCTGTGGAGCTTGCTTTGAGCTCAGATGGGTTGACCACATCTTGTGGTGTCTGCAAGGGAACCCCTCAGTCGTCCTCACTGCCACAGATTTCTGTCCACCGAATTATGGGCTTTCAGCAGACTATGGCGGCTGCTGCAATTTTCCCAAGGAACACTTTGAGATGTCTGAGGTAGCATTTGCTGAAATTGCAGAGAAAAGAGCAGATATTGTGCCAGTTCAGTATAAGAGGTACAACATATCAAACTATGCACGTTTGACAAGTTTTAAGAAAATTTCCTTTCTATAAAAGAAATCACTGTTTATGCAAATATCGTGGGGTGAGGTGTGAAAGAAGGGGTAGGATAAGATTCACAATGAGCGGGAGCGCTCACTTCTGTCAGGTCCTGATTACCAATGTGGGACTGAATGGTGAAGTAGCAGCGGTGGAAGTGAAGGGTCCCAAAACAGGGTTGATACCTATGGTGAGAAACTGGGGACAAAACAGGCTGTGCAACATCAATCTTATAGGACAACCATTTTCTTTTGAGGTAGCAGCCAGTAGCGGCAGGACGCTTCCCTCTTACATCGTTACCCCAGCAAATTGGCAGTTTGGTCAAACATATGAAGGAAAACAGTTCAAGTAAGGCAACAATCTTTGAGATTTTTACATATGGAAAGATGGCAGAGATCACTTCTGAATCATTGCCGGAAACTTCAAGTTCGGTTCATAGGTAAGATCTGCATTAAAGAGGTGTACAAGTTCAAACTAAAGAGTTAGTGCAAGAAGTGAGAACATCTCCAGTTATGCCATGAATTCGGCATAATAGTCAAAAGAGAAGAAAAAGTTGTAGAAAAAAAAAGTTCGAATAAACAGGAATAGAATGTCCAGTTTTATCACTTCATAATATAATCATTAGAGAGCTTAATTGTCTATGCAATGCGTAAGGCTCCGCTTAGCACATTGGTGTGGTGCGAATGGAGAAAAAAAATCACCGGAGGAGAGCGTCCCATTACCATAATTCCTTTATTATTGATTTTACTTTCGTAAAATAAATTCATAGATCAGATGAAAAATGTTATGTAAATCCCCCCTCATATTATCTGGCCTTGCTTCAGGGTGTCTTTCATGGTAATTACCATGGCTTTCAGGTTCAATTTGAATCTTAAACAAGAGCTACCGCTAATAGTAAAGAGGCAAGCTGAAGGCAGTCGGCGTTGCAATCCTTCGATTCATTCCTTCATTCTATATTTTGGCTATTGAAATCGTTGGCCAAGAATATGCATGCTATTTGAAATAACGGCTTGTCGGCTTCCAAACAAGCATACCCAACACTGATAATCCGTTGATTTTTTTTTTCTTTTTTTAAATAATTAGGAGCAACATTGCCGTCGTTCATAATGCATGTGGTTCAGTTAGAATGCAAAATAATAAAAGATTTCTAGTCTCGTTAAAATTATCATGATGTTAACACATGATGTTTTATCCCAAAAAAAAATAGCAACGTTTAAAATTAAAAAAATAATAGCAACCAAACCAATTCTTTCTCTATTCCAAATCTTATAGGCGTTTTTGTAAACAACTCTTTTAAATGATAAGAATTTTTTTTTTAAATATGATAATTTCTTTTAATTACAAATTAGATAAATTTTAATTTATTCAAATATCAAAATTATTCAAATTATAATTAAAAATCAAATCAATTTAGAGATATATTTTTAAAAATTAAAATATGAAGTATAGATTTTATTTTTTTAATAAATAATTTTAGTTGTTTACCAAATAACTTTATTTAAAAAATTATTTAATTATCAAAATCTTTCATGTTTAAAAATTATAAAGATTAAGTTTATCGAAATCTTTCAATAATATTTTTTATCTTGATTTAAAAAATTTAAGCAATTTTATGTAATATTTTGAAATTTGAAAAGATTTTTATCTTAAATTTTTAAACAATAAAATAATCAAAACTATTATATCTATTTGAACTCTAATTGTCAAATTTATAATTCAAATAAATGCAAAAAATTTAATATTATCTTTATCACTTATTATATCCATTTTAAATTTTAAAAATTAATTTAAAATTATCTATATAATCTTACTTGCCACTAAAGAATTTTTTTACAAATTTAATATTACAAATGTATGTGTTATACATCAAATTTGTTTTATTTTTTCAATAACTTTTTTTCAAGGTATATTCTATTACTATTGCAAATTTTTTTTTGTTTATAACTTTTTTTCAATATATATTTTATTGTTATTATAGTTTTATTCTTATGAAAAATAACAAATTTTTAAATTTATTTTTTTCCTTTTTCATGTATTTTCTAACATTTTTCATATTTTACATAATAATTTATTCAAGATTACTAAAATGAAAGTATGTTAATATTTCTTTTATTATTTAATTTATCATTCAATAATATATATTTTTATTTTTTTAATAAAAATATAATTTATTTTTATTTAATATAATCTTACAGGTGTATAAATATTATTGTAAACAAAAATATCCAAAAAAAAATATAATTTTTTTCTTATTATTTTTAAAAAATTTATTTTTTAATGACAAGTGTATATATATATATATATAACTTTTATATATGTCATGAGTTTGAAAATTTTGAATATAATTTTAAAAAAACTAATATATATATATATATATATATATAAATCTCACGTATAATCTAGTTTATGGATATTTCACTTTATCTCTATCAATAAAAGGTTAGCTTGACAAAGAATGTAGCTGCATCGATGTCATAACTTTCGGATGAAGCTAAATTGATTAAGGACGGCATTCATCCGACAAGGTAAAAGGATTGAATTTTCTTTTTCCGTATCTGAAATATCATAATTTTTTTTCCTTTAATTTAAAACCTTGATGCTTCTTTTCCCTAAGACTTTCCACAAGTGTACAAGAAACGATTTCACGATGGTTCGGGGTTTTTTTTTTTTTTTTTTTAATCATGAAATTTTGAATAAATTCAAGTATGCCAAAATGAATTTTCATGCAACTTTTGGCTTTCAAGTTCAAATAAAATTTTCTCAATGTTCAAGCTTATTTAAGGATTCGACCAAATAAATTTGTATTTTACATCATATATGCCCAAACAAAGCCTAAATTAGTTCCATTTTACAGGGGAGATAACCAAGAGTTTCTCTTGGTCGGTTTATTGAAATAAATAAAAATGCAATTCATAATCTAGTGCCAAAAAATTTATATGATACAGATATTATTTAATAAATTTAAATTTTAAAATTTTAATACTTACCATTTTTTATATTTTTATATAAAAAAATTTACGTTATACGCCCATCATCCAATGCTATCATCTCACATGGGATCTCATATGAAAAGTAACGTGGTTTAAGCGCCGTCGTTTCTGAATACCGGTCCCAGTCCCACATTTTCATACATTACGTGGCAAGGATTTATGTATCTAAGCCAAACGCACAAGCGAGCAGGGGGAATCGCAGACGGTGAGTTTAGTGCATGGCCGATGGTCACGAATCACGATCACTTTATTTACTTATTTATTCATATTTGTTCTCACTTCATCATAGCCGTTCATCTCGCACGAAATAGACTTAACTCACACGCCTGCAAGCCCAGCGTAAATATCAGTTTCCTCTCCTAACCTTTTGCTTTTTTGTCCTCCTTTTCTTCTCCATTTTCGTTTAAGAAATGGCGACCATCGTTGCAGGGGTGCCGTGGATGAGAATCAAAGTGTTTCCTGAACTCGCCCCTCCCTTTCTTTTTCGTCGCCATTTTCGTCGAAATTTCTCCGTGCGCGCATCACTGGACAGTGATTTACCGGTCAGAGTGCGTTTCGCTCCTTCGCCAACCGGAAACCTCCACGTCGGCGGTGCCCGAACTGCTCTTTTCAATTACTTGTTCGCTAGGTATTTCTTTAACATCTTCTTCTTGTTCATTTTCTTTTTTGTGTTCGGTTTTGTCAATTTTGATGATTTTCTTTTCTGTTCTTTTTTTTCTTTTTTTAAGATCGAAGGGAGGAAAATTTGTGCTGAGAATCGAGGATACAGACTTGGAGAGGTCAACGCGGGAATCAGAGGAGGCTGTGCTTCGAGATTTAGCTTGGCTTGGTCTTGACTGGGATGAAGGTATTGTTTATCCCCTTTTATCATCATTATCTTCCTATATCAGTTAATTTGGCATGAAATGTATCACTGCAATTTTACATGTATCATTATGTTTGTCACTTTTAGAATTAATAGATTTTGTTTGTTGCTATGTAGGCCCTGGTGTGGGTGGGGACTATGGTCCTTATCGACAATCCGAAAGGAATTCTATGTACAAGCAATATGCTGAGAAACTCTTAGAATCTGGTCATGTTTATCGTTGTTTTTGTTCCAATGAGGTAATTGCTTTCAACTATAAAAGTCACATTATATGACATTTCGCCCTAATTAAAACATTGCGAACGGGAAGAGATTTGAATTGATTTACTTTTAGGTTTCAGTTGATTGCCTCTGGAAATCAGATTGGAAACTATTTCCGTGGAGACAAATATGCAAATTTTGTGTCTCAAAAAAATACCCTATGATCCCATTGAACTATGAATAGCGTGATTCTGTATCTCTGAACTATGATCACTTTTTAGCTCTCAATTTATAAGTTCTTTCTTAATCCTCTACAGGAACTTGAAAAAATGAAGGAGATTGCAGAGCTAAAGAAACTTCCTCCTGTATACACTGGGAAGTGGGCCACTGCAACAGATGAAGAAGTACAAGAAGAGCTAGCTAAGGGAATCCCTTATACATATCGATTTCGTGTTCCAAAGGAAGGGAGCTTGAAAATTAATGACCTTATTCGAGGCGAAGTAAGTCCCATTTATTGCACTATTTCTTCCTTAATAGCCTTGTGCCCAGTAAACTGCAACTTATTGTCTGTAATTTGAGTTTTTTTTTTTTTGTTGGCTCAAGAGCACCATTATGTTTAAATTTCAGTGTTCCTTGCAGAACAGATTATATAATACTTAACTGTAATTTAGTTATACAGGCACTAACTTTGTTGGATAGTGTCATGAAGGTTAGCTGGAAATTGGAAACACTTGGAGATTTTGTTATAATGAGGAGCAACGGCCAACCTGTATACAACTTTTGTGTTACAGTTGATGATGCTACCATGGCTATTTCACATGTCATAAGGTAATTAGAAAATTCTAATTATTTTACTATTTTACTCCATCTAATATCGGTTTTATTTGTAATCCTTTTGGTCCTCTATCCTCACACTCTTTATAACTGGCATTTCAGAGCTGAAGAGCATTTACCTAATACTCTAAGGCAAGCCTTAATATACAAGGTAATCTTAAAAAGCATCAGTTCTTTTTTCAATGTTCGGAGGCTTTTGAAGTTTCTGATTTCTTTTCAACTATATGAGGAAGCAGATCTTGGCATTTAAACAATATTTTGCCACAGGCTCTTGAATTCCCAATGCCTTTCTTTGCCCATGTTTCTTTGATTCTTGCGCCTGATAGAAGTAAACTGTCAAAACGCCATGGTGCAACTTCAGTTGGTCAGGTAGGTAGTTGTCTTCATTTTACTTTTTTTTTTCTAGTAAATATTACAAAATAAATGTAATCACTCTGATTTCCTTGGTTTCTACAAGTGTATCTTTTAAATTGAGGATTAAAATTCTCCATGTTTAACAATTACCCTGTTCCAGTTCAGAGAGATGGGGTATCTACCTCAGGCGATGGTGAATTACTTGGCACTTTTAGGTTGGGGTGATGGAACTGAAAATGAGTTTTTCACAATTGAGCAACTTGGTTAGTTTTTCCTTTGACTTGCTCTGATGTATATGCTTCTATACTTCTAAGTCCTATGATCAGCTTAGGCAGATAATATCTAGATGATTGTCATTTGACCTTTTCTCACTTGAAAGTTTTTTATGCTATTCATAGTTGAAAAGTTCTCGATTGGTCGTGTTAACAAAAGTGGTGCCATTTTCGACTCTACTAAGTTAAGGTAACTTCTTTATGCTTTGAAGTTCCATTTTTTGTTACTATTGGCGAGTACACCGAGGCCTAGGTTATCTATATAGCGTACTGTGGGATATAGGCCAAGGATCTCCTAGTTTCGTTGCTGCCTTATGTGTTCCTTTATTTTATCATATTATCATGAACTGTGTGTTCTTAAATTGTACAATATTTGCAAGTTCCAAGCTTGATCAAGTGATTCACATGGGATCATTGTTGATAACTACAATGGATTTTGCGAGATGTCATGACATTAGGCTTGCAGCACTTTATAAGAACCAAGACTGAAATACATTTGTTTCTTCATTCTTGTGTACTAAATATTGCTCTGTTTATATAGTTTCCTAATTTTGTCCTTCCCTATTAAAACTAAAGGTGGATGAATGGTCAGCACTTAAGAGCACTTCCGTTTGAAGAGTTGAGCAAGCTTATTGGTGAGCGCTGGAAGAGTACTGGTCTTCTCACAGAGTCAGAGGGGCCATTTATAGATGTAAATTTCTTTTTAACACATATTTTGAAAGTATTCTACAATGCTCAACATCATGCACCATAAGATTCGGATAACAATGGTATATAAATATGTCCCAACAGGAGGCAGTTCAGTTGCTTAAGGATGGTATTGACTTGGTAACAGATTCAGATACAGCACTCTCAAACTTGCTGTCTTATCCTTTGCGTGTGACCTTGTCAAGGTGATTATGGAATTCTTGCACTTAAATTTTGGCCTGTATGACCTTGTTTGATATTATTTTTTGGCTCGGGTACTTTTCTTGATGGCAATTTTGGTTGTGCTTTTGCATTCTTCCCAGTCTCATTGTCTCAGGGTTAAAAGCTTTAGCATAGATATTATTAATATTCTTATTTTGGATCCAAATACTGAAGATGCTTCAAAATATTACATGGACCATCAGCAATTGAGATCACAGCTTTCAAACGTTATGCTTTCTCCATTTTTTTGGTTCATTGGTTTGAGTGAGTTTGTGCCAACAAATGAATATTCTATCAGTAATGTTGGGATTTTTGGATGTTTAGAATCTGAAAAGAGCCATAATATCCTCAGACTTCATGGTGCAAAATTATGTTCTGCATTTTTTACTGTAGCTTACAAGTTGCCCAAAGCATGTGTAGCAGTTTGGCTATGTCAATTATTATGTTATTTAACTTTGTATCCTCTGTAGCCCTGAAGGTAAACCTATTGTAGAGGACAAGATTCCTGATGTTTCTGCCAGTCTCTTAGCTGCCTATGATAGTGGTGAACTCCTTGGTGCGTTGGAAGAAGGTCATGCTGGCTGGCAGAAGTGGGTAAAGGGCTTTGGCAAAACTCTGAAGCGCAAGGTAGGCTTTAATTTATACGTTGCCTTTTTGTGGTCCTGGTTTTTCCTTTTTTGGCCATCTTGAATAATAACCTCATGTATGGTACTGAACTTAGAATTGCCTTGCTACAACTCTCATTGCAGGGGAAATCACTTTTCATGCCCCTGAGGTTGTTATTAACAGGAAAGCTCCATGGCCCTGAAATGGGTTCCAGTGTAATCCTAATCTATAAAGCTGGAAACCATGGTGTTGTTGCTCATCAGGCTGGGTTTGTGACATTGAGAGAGAGGTTTGAAACATTGAGACAAATTGACTGGGAAGCACTTAACCAGGATCAGCCTGCTTTGGAGTCTTCGGCTACCATATCAAATTAAAAATGGAAGTTTTGTTCAAGTTTTTGCAATTTGATGAGATGATGTAGTTCAATATTCTAAAGGTTTGACGCTTATGAATATGATAAGCATTTAGGTACTGTTAACTTGAATATTTTTGGAAGTCATTCATGTGGAAATAATTTTACTTCACTGTGAAATGTTTCTACCTATGCTGCCAGAAGAGTCGCATGTCAATCATAGGGGGAATGATCTGTTAAAAAGCGTCTGTAATAGATTTAGCTTTTGAGCTTAACATTTGAAAAGCAGTGTTGACGGCTTTGAAATTCATGAAATGCGTGTTCCTAATCATCAGAGTAAATTTAATTCAGCTATTTAGGCAGTGCTGTTTTACTCAAGCGTACAATTTTGAACGTTTTACAAAGAAAATTCGAGAGTGCTAGAAATTTATTTAGACTTCCCTTCCCTATTATATTTGCCTTCTACAAGTCAAGAAGAATGGCATTTGAGGCTCTTGAGCTTATTCAATGCCAAGAAATAAGAATTTTAACAACGAAACTTTGGGACAATAAAACCGATATAAGAAGTGTAAGGGACAAACAACCAAAGATAATACAAAATACATTTGATAATTTTAAATATTATAATGTTATAATATGATACGAAAATAATAAAAAATTATATCATTTAAAATTTTAACAAAAATTATATATAAATTTAATAAAAATAAAAAAATCATATTAATATAGTAATATAAATTATAATACAATAATTTTTATATTTATATATATTTAATCCACAATAAATATAATATAAAATACATAAATTATCTTATTTAAATGTTCACATGACAATCACAGGGCAAACGATCGACAAAAGAACAGAACCAAGGAAAATAAATTTTTTTATTTTTTATTTTTATTTTACTTTCACAAACAAACATCAAGATCCAGTCGAGAGAGCGTGTGACTAATTAGCCATAAAGCCCGATTAACGCATCTGTCGGCTTGGCTCCCCGAAGAATTAGTCAGTCATTTCCAAAATAAAAAGGCTCGCTCGCTCTTTTCTTCTCCCTTTATCTGGATTGATTCATTCGATCTAACGCATTTCAGTTTCTAATGACTTTGCATATCAACCAGCACTCAGATCAGATTTCACAGATCTGAAAAAAAAAAAAAGTGATGTCAGCTTCCCAAACGCTCGGCGGCCCGTCGCGGTGCGGCCGTGTACTGGGCCCATCTCTCGACAAGATCATCAAAAACGCCGCTTGGCGAAAGCACTCTCACCTCGTTTCCTCATGCAAATCCGCTCTCGACAAGCTCGAGACCCTCTCCGACACCGCCTTATCGGATCCGACTTCTCCTCTACTCGGCCTTTCCTCTCCCGACGCCGATTTTGTCCTCAACCCTATCCTCCTCGCCCTCGACTCCAATTACGCCAAAGTTGCCGAGCCCGCCCTCGAATGCACCTTCAAATTGTTCTCTCTCGGCGTCGTTCGTGGCGAGATCGACAGCAACATCTCCAATTCGATCCTCTACAAAGTTGTCGAAAGTGTTTGCAAAGTCGGCGGCATTGGCGACGAATCGGTCGAGCTCGCTGTGCTACGAGTTTTACTCTCCGCCGTTCGATGCCCTTGCGTTTTGATCCGTGGCGATTGCTTGCTTCTCGTTGTTAGAACTTGTTATAACGTATATTTAGGCGGTTTAAATGGAACCAATCAGATCTGTGCTAAGTCTGTTCTAGCTCAGATTATGCTCATTGTATTTACCCGAGCGGAAGAAGATTCCATGGATGTTTCTATCAGAACAGTTTCAGTTAGTGAGCTTTTAGAGTTTACTGATAAGAATTTAAATGAAGGAAGTTCAATTTATCATTGCCAGAATTTTGTTAGCGAGGTTATGAGTGGTAGTGAGGGGGTTCCAGATTTGAAGCTTTCGCAGCCGGTTCAGGAGTTGCAAAATGGTGAGTCTAATATGTCGAAGGAGAAGGAGGAAAGTGGGGAGGAAGAGACGAGGGATGAGGTGGAGTCGGGTTCCAGTGGGGTTAGTAGTAAAATTAGGGAGGACGGATTTCTTGTTTTTAAGAATTTGTGTAAGTTGTCAATGAAGTTCTCATCGCAGGATAAACCGGATGATCAGATCCTTTTGAGAGGGAAGACAGTGTCTTTGGAACTCCTCAAGGTTATTATGGATAATGGGGGTTCAGTTTGGCGCTCAAATGAGAGGCAAGTCATTCTATACTGTGTTCACATCGGATTCTGATCTTTTATTTCCTTCAAATTGGACTTATTATTTGATATAATTAGTTTTTATGGTTGTTTGCATGTTGCCATATTTCTTTGGGCTTTATCTTTAATTGTTATTAGATTTTTCGGGTAGTTGTTGGTCTGCTATGACTATGATAGTTGTGTTTAGAACTTTAAAGTGGTAATGAACATTTACATTTTGGTTATTTGCTAATCTTATCAAGATAATTTGTTTTTGGATAGTTGAAGTTTAATTTCAACATCCAAAGAAAGCAGAAAAGTATTTAGGTTTCATATTCCTAAACTATGGCAGGACACATGTTCAACACCTCAAAGTGGACATAAGTTTGGGGTCTTTAGCCTCAAAATATGGCCTCAAAATATGAGGGAAACTTTAGAAAACCCTAAATGAACCTGTGTCAGACACATAGCTGGTTCAAATACTCACTCCCAATTCTGGCCAACATAAATCCCAAATAAGCCTTTATTCTCAAGTGCTTATGTATTCTGGGTAGTGCGATTATCATGAATTATCTGAAGAATCATTTCTTTAGCTAGTTGTTACAAAAAATAAATAAAAAGAAAAATGCTCCAAAACCATTATTTGGTTCTTTTTTTTTTTATATAATTTATTTTTTACCTTGCAAGTTTTGAATGTCATGTAGTATGGGTGATAAATAACTCACTTGTGTTTTTGCAAGTCCTTTGTTAAATTTATTCTAATGTTCTTATGTTACGTGATACATAATGCAGGTTTCTTAATGCAATTAAGCAGTATCTCTGCTTATCATTGTTAAAAAACAGTGCATTGTCAGTGATGTCGATTTTCCAGCTCCAGTGTGCTATTTTTATGAGCTTGTTAACGAAATTTAGAGCAGGGTTGAAAGCTGAAATTGGAATATTCTTTCCCATGCTAATCCTCCGAGTTCTAGAGAATGTTCTCCAGCCAAGTTTTGTACAGAAAATGACTGTCCTTAATTTGTTGGAAAAGATCGCTGGGGATTCACAGATTATCATTGATATATTTGTGAACTATGACTGCGATGTGGATTCACCAAACATATTTGAAAGGTATTTTTTTTCCTAATAATTGTTCGCACAAGTGTTTGACATGAGTGCTTGTTTCATGTCATCAAGTTTGTTTGTCATATTGATCTTTCAATGGAAGTATCCAACAAATCATATGTGAAAGCCTATGTGAATTTGAAACCTTTTCTCAATTTTTTGCAACGGGAAGGTAGGCCAACATAGGAATTAACTCAAGCACCAGTTATTGGCTCATGTTCTCAGAGCATGCTTTAGCTTCTTTTCTAATGTTTTTTAATTTCTCGTTCTTTTTTATTTCTTAATATCGCACTTTAGTAAAATGTATTAAAACTCTTATTATTAAATCATATGTGAAATCATATATGAATTTGAAACCTTTTCTCAAATTTTGCGAAAGGACGGTAGTTCATCTTAGGAATTAACTCAAGCATTAGTCAATTTGGTGATGTTCTCGGAGCTTGCTTTAGCTTTTCTAATGCAGTTTTTTTTTTCTTAAATTTCTTTTTCTTTTTTATTTCTAAGTTCGTCACACTTTAGTAAAATGTATTAAAACTCTTATAATTTTATCAGATATTTGCAGGATTGTCAATGGTGTTCTGAAAACTGCTCTAGGGCCACCGCCTGGTTCAACCACAACTTTGTCTGCAGTCCAGGATATTACTTTCCGGCATGAATCAGTGAAGTGCTTGGTTGGCATCATTAAGTCAATGGGAGCTTGGATGGACCAACAGCTGAAGATAGGTGATTCTGACTTGCATAGGAGCTTTCAGAGTGACACTTCAGTAGAGATCCATTCAACCCCGGCTGCTGAAGATGGAGCTGTCCCTGATTGTGATTTACATCCTGAAATGAATTCTGAATTGTCAGATACTGCTACGCTTGAGCAACGCCGGGCTTACAAGATTGAACTTCAGGTTAGTTATTCCTTTAAGTGGGATAGAGCATGACTATATCCTCATGCAGCACATACTTATTTATCTCCCAAATTGTAACAGAGGGCTGCCTTAATATACCATGATAATTTGCTATATTTCTATTGGCTTCTATTCTGTCATGTATTTTTATGTAGCTTGATTATATTTTTAGTTATCTCCATTTCTTCAAAAGCTTGGTTTTAGCGACAGCTTTACTGGGTTGCATGCAGAAAGGTGTCTCATTGTTTAACAGGAAGCCATCCAAAGGCATTGAGTTTCTCATAAACACCAAAAAAGTTGGCGACTCTCCTGAGGAAGTGGCTTCTTTTCTGAAAAATAACACTGCTGGGCTGAATGAAACTATGATTGGTGATTATTTGGGTGAAAGGGAGGAATTTCCTTTGAGAGTCATGCATGCTTATGTGGATTCCTTTAATTTCAAATCTATGGATTTTGGTGAAGCAATAAGGTTTTTCCTACGCGGCTTCAGGTTACCAGGAGAGGCACAGAAAATTGACCGCATCATGGAAAAGTTTGCTGAGCGCTATTGTAAATGCAACCCAAACTCATTTACTAGTGCAGATACTGCCTATGTTCTGGCATACTCTGTCATTATGCTCAACACTGATGCCCATAATAACATGGTCAAAGATAAGGTTTGTTTGTCAAACCTCCTTTTTGTTTCTTCAGCACATCACTTAATTGTGAGCTTTTGCTTTACATGCTTGCTTACGGATGTACTTGTCTTTTGAACAGCCTTTATGATTTATTTTGGGGCTTGTAAGCCATTCTGGTGCTTTAAATCCTTACTGTCAATAATATGGAATTTCCTTTGTGCTCTTGCGAATTATGTTTTTAATTGTATATAGATAAATTTACAATAGATTTGATTCTGCTCTCATTTCTGTTATATGTTGCTTCTGTATTCAGATGACCAAGTCTGATTTCATCCGAAACAACCGAGGAATAGATGATGGCAAGGATTTACCTGAGGAGTATCTTGGTGCTCTCTATGATCAGATTGTGAAAAATGAAATTAAGATGAATGCTGATTCCAATGTTCCTCAAAGCAAGCAGGCAAACAGCTTGAATAAGTTATTGGGTTTAGATGGTATACTTAATCTGGTCAGTTGGAAGCAAACAGAAGAAAAGCCATTGGGTGCAAATGGGCTTCTTATAAGACATATCCAAGAGCAGTTTAAGGCAAAGTCAGGAAAATCAGAGTAAGTTTTAATCTAATATATTTTCAAGGTTTTCTCCTCTCAAGATGACTGGAGGGGCAAGGAATAGTAGAAGTTTGGAACTTGTAGAGGTCATTTATTGGTTGTGTCTTGAATCGTATTCTCAATTTGATGGTTTTGACAGTGTATTCTTCCTTCATACCTGTTATCTGTGAGCTTCAGATGAATTTTTCACATGTTTTTGCATATGATTGTATGCAATAGGTTGTGATATGTTGGTTGGGAAATGAAGTCATTTGATTTTTAGTTGATGCCAGGCATAAAAGTATGATAAGAGAACAACACACATCATTAAGCAAAGAGGATTCAATTCTTCTACCTTCCTCTATTCTCTCCATCCTGCTGCTGTGTTAAATTGATCTTTATTCTTTTATCATCCCAAATTTTCCCAGAAGACCTGCCACATGATCTTTGTTAATAGTAGTCTTTTTTTTCTTTGCTGTTGCAGGTCTGTTTATCATGCTGTTTCAGATATAACAATCTTGAGGTTTATGGTGGAGGTCTGCTGGGGACCTATGCTCGCTGCATTTAGTGTCACTCTTGACCAGAGTGATGATAGACTTGTTACCACTCAGTGCTTACAGGGCTTTCGACACGCTGTGCATATAACTGCAGTAATGGGCATGCAGACGCAGAGAGATGCTTTTGTCACATCTGTGGCAAAGTTCACTTTTCTTCATTGTGCTGCAGATATGAAACAAAAGAATGTTGATGCTGTAAAGGTAAGTAATATTTGTTTGCACATAATAACGAAGAATGGAATCTTCCCCCGGGTTTTCTCATACGCTATATCATAGGAAGTTAGAATTGCTGCATTTAAACGTTTGCACATACAGCCTTCCACCACAGATACCATAAAATTTGTTTTTTGCTGCATATGTACGTTTGCATGTACATATGCTTTTTACTTCCTTTTTCTTGGCATTTGCTTTGTTATGGAACATTGATGGTCTAGTAGGTTGAAGTAGAACCAATTAGCCTAAACTGTGATGGTTGAATGATAAAAGTTATATAATTGTTTGTTAGTAAAGTATGTGTGAAAAATTAATGCATCGCATTTAGTTAGCAATGCATGTTGCATGCGTATAGTATATGTTTCTTTCTGTGATATGTTATATTTATATCTCACTTGTTGAAATATCTACTTTATACAGGCAATAATATCTATTGCCATTGAAGATGGTAACCATCTTCAGGAAGCCTGGGAGCATATATTGACATGCCTGTCCAGAATTGAGCATTTGCAACTGTTGGGAGAAGGCGCACCGGCTGATGCTTCTTTTTTATCTGTGTCTAACCCTGAAACAAATGAAAAGATGGCAAAATCTGTTGGTCTTCAATCTTTGAAGAAAAAAGGAACCCTCCAGAATCCAGCTGTAATGGCAGTTGTCCGAGGGGGTTCATATGATAGCACCACTGTTGGAGTCAATAGTTCAGGACTGGTAACTCCTGAGCAGATTAATCAATTCATTGCAAACTTGAATTTATTGGACCAGATAGGAAATTTCGAGTTGAACCATGTTTTTGCGCATAGCCAAAGGTTAAACAGTGAAGCAATAGTGGCATTTGTGAAAGCCCTTTGCAAAGTTTCTATATCAGAGTTGCAGTCTCCAACAGATCCTCGTGTTTTTAGCCTCACAAAACTAGTTGAAATTTCGTAAGATTCTTATCTTTTTTTTTTAGAAAATTTCATATAATGCTATCTCCAACAGATCCTCGAGTTTTTAGCCTCACAGAAAAAATTTCACTTGCTCTCTTGAACACATCTATCTCTCTCTATCTCCCTTCTCCTTTGAGTGCCTTTGGAGAATCCTTATTCTAGAATTTTCTATTGCAGGCATTACAATATGAACCGCATCAGATTAGTTTGGTCTCGCATGTGGAATGTTCTCTCTGATTTCTTTGTTTCGGTTGGATTGTCTGAGAATTTATCTGTAGCAATTTTTGTGATGGATTCATTGCGGCAGCTTGCTATGAAATTCTTAGAACGTGAGGAGCTGGCAAATTACAATTTCCAGAATGAATTTTTGAGACCATTTGTGATTGTTATGCAGAAAAGCAGCTCTGCGGAAATAAGGGAATTAATAGTTCGATGCATTTCTCAGATGGTTCTCAGCCGTGTCAGTAATGTGAAATCTGGATGGAAAAGTGTTTTTATGGTAAGCTAAGGGCTTGTATAAGATTTCTGTTGTTATGGAGCTCTGATAACCTTTCTTTTCACGAAATTCTATCCTTTACTCAGGTATTCACGGCTGCTGCTGCGGATGAGCGGAAGAATATCGTCTTGCTAGCTTTTGAGACAATGGAAAAAATAGTGCGAGAATACTTTCCTCATATAACTGAGACAGAAGTTACCACCTTTACTGATTGTGTAAGATGCCTCATCAAGTTCACAAATAGCAGGTTTAACAGTGATGTTAGCCTCAATGCTATTGCATTTCTCCGGTTCTGTGCTGTCAAACTTGCTGAGGGGGGACTTGTTTGCACTGATAAGAGCTCAGATGATGGTTCATCCGTTTCAATTGTGAATAAGGATGATTCAGATATACAAAGTTTCGCTGATATTGATGATCATGGATCGTATTGGGTTCCTTTGCTAACAGGTAACCTGCTAGTTTAGTTGCTTGCAAATTCTATAACCTTGTTGACGCTATTATGCAATATGGATGGCATAATAGGCTATTTGTGTGACTGAGTCCTTACAATCAAACTAAGCTGATTATATGGTTTATATAACATGTTTGTTTGATGGATACCTTACTATTGGAGGTTTGGAACTAGTAGTTCAACATATATATGTCACTGTTCCACTTGTCATACTGCTCTTTTGCCCTATCACTCATTCTGTTTTAAGTCCCAAGTCAGAGATATCCATTTTAGTTGTTTAAATCATTGCAAATGATCTATTTTCATGTTTTCCCTTACACTCCACTGTTCTAGGTCTCTATCAGCAATTTATTCTGTACTGAGGCATTGTATTGTCCATGTTGAATGGGAACATGATTGTTATCACCATTAGTTTTCAATGTTGTAAAGATAATGTGCCTTTCCTGTTTCGAATTATAGAATTTTAATTTGTTGTTTCAGGTTTATCAAAACTAACATCTGACTCAAGATTAGCTATCCGGAAGAGTTCGTTGGAAGTGCTTTTCAACATCCTGAAGGATCACGGTCATCTTTTCTCACGAACATTCTGGACTGGTGTTTTTACTTCTGTTGTTCTCCCCATATTTAATGGTGTATGTGAAAAGAGAGACATGCCTGTAAAAGATGAGCAGGATTCACCAACTTCGAAATCTCATCCTAATGGAAGTACATGGGACACTGAAACTTCGGCCGTTGCAGCACAGTGTCTAGTAGATCTATTTATTAGTTTTTACAATGTATTGAGGCCCCAGTTATCAAATGTGGTATCTGTACTGACAGGATATTTGAGAAGTTCAATACAGGGTCCTGCAAACACTGGGGTTGCAGCGATGTTCCGTTTGACTGGAGAGTTAGGAAACAGATTTGCAGATGAAGAATGGCAAGAAATATTTCTATCTTTAAAAAAAGCAGCCACATTAACGTTGCCAGGGTTTATGAAGCTTTTGAAAACCATGGATGACATCAAGGTGCCTGATAATTCTCAATCCCATGCTAATACCGAAACAAGTTCTGATGGATTGACCAATGATGATGTTGAGGATGATAATCTGCAAACTGTGGCTTATGTGGTTTCAAGAATAAAGAGTCATATAGCCGTCCAGCTGCTCATCATGCAGGTTCTCGCAGTACACACTATATTCTTGCATGCTAATAATGATTCTTTGCCATAGAAACATGTGACATAATCATATTTGTTCTGGCTTCATCATTTCAGGTTATAACTGATATGTACAAAGCACACCTACAATTCTTGTCAGCCTCCAATATCAACATCATTGTTGAGATATTTTCTTCCATTGCATCACATGCTCAGCAACTGAACTCTGATACTACCCTGCAAAAGAAAATACAGAAAGCGTGCTCAATCTTGGAGCTCTCTGATCCTCCTATGGTTCACTTTGAGAACGAGGCTTATCAAAATTACCTCAATTTCCTCCAAGATCTAGTAAAAAATAATCCATCTGTCTCTGAGGAGATGAATCTAGAATCACTACTTGTGGCAGTATGTGAAAAAATATTGCAGATATACCTTAACTGTGCTGATTACCAGTGTGTACAGCAGAAGTCCGTTGACAAGCCAGTGGCTCATTGGATTCTTCCATTGGGTTCGGCCAAAAGGGAAGAATTGGCGGCTAGAACTCCTTTACTTGTCTCAGCGCTGAACGCATTGGGTGGTTTGGAAAGGGATTCTTTTAGAAAGTACGTTTCAAATTTCTTTCATCTGTTGCTCGATCTTGTACGGAGCGAGCATGGCTCGGGCGAAGTTCAACTTGTTCTAAGCAACTTATTCCAGTCATGTATAGGTCCAATAATAATGCAATAATTTATTATTTATATAATATTACATTATTATTACATCACAGTTTTGATCATCATAGTTGGCTTGCTGAGTAGCCAAGGTATCAATAGATATTATTTTTTGTAGCATATTCTGAGTTTTCTTCTCTTCTATCTTTTCTTTCCCTGAAAAAGAGTGTACATGTTAATGAACATCCTGATGATATAAATTGAAAATTTATTCCAATTTGGAGTTCCTTGTGTTTTGGCAGTGATGTAGTTTGTTGGTATACTTTTAACAGAAGCCCGACACAACATGAGGAAGTGCGTATATCTTTTGTCTATGGGTTCATCATAAATAGTCTGCTCGCACAACCTGGCAAGGCCCAGGGAACAAAAGAAACAGAACCCCACTAAAGCCCTACGCAGAAACAACCTGTGTGGATCAGGATAGCATGTAGAAGATGGAAATGGGAAGAACGGGCAATGAAAAGTAGGAAAATAAGCCATGCAATGTAGATTTAACTAGGACTAGGGCAAAAAGGCCAAAATGGAAAAAGATGGCACGGGTTGCCAAGGATTCAGCATAACAGTTGTATCTGGAAGTTGGGAAAACGAAGTATGACTCATATGGAATTTCAAATATGGATATTGACAAAGCAAAGAAGAGAAGTAGAAGGGATTCAGGCAGGGTTTCGCAAGAAATACTACAACAAACGACGGTGGCTGCAACCCAGTCCTATCAAGAGCCATAAGGTGCTTAAAATGAAATTGTCGTAGACTTGGAAACCCACGAGCAATTCAGGCTCTTCGGAAGATATTGAAGAGAAAAGATTTCGAGGTGGTTTCTTAAGTGAAACTATCTCCAAGGTAACCAACCTTGATAGAACTCGCAAAAAGTGCATTATGTACGGGATGATTGGAGTGGACACGGTTGGGAGAAACGGGGCCTGGCACTAATGTGGAAAGGAGGGTTGAGTAAATGTTGATTTGAATCAATTAAATTGATCAAAATTAAGTGAATTTGATTGATTTGATTTGATTTATTTGATTTTGATTGTAATTAATTTTTTAAATTAATTAAATTAATTAACTCAATTGATTTTTGATTTTTAAAATTAATAATTGAACTAATCGAATTAATTAACTTTTTAATAAGTAAAATTAAAAAAATTGATATGAATATTTTTATTTATTTTTTTCCTGTAAAATATTATTGCATTATTAAATTTTTTAGTGATTTAATTTGAATGATACTTGAGTTTGAGTTTTATTAAATTGAATTTGTGGTTAAATAATTATTCACAGTAAGAAAAAAATAATAAAAAAATTCAGCTATTTAACTGAACTGACCGAATTGAACCGATTTTTGTTAGTTCGGTTATGATCCATTATTTAAAAATTTTTGATCGATTCAATTATTTGTTGAATGAAAGTCAATTAAATCGATTATTGATTTTTTTAAATTTAACTGACCGAATCGACTAATTGCTTACCCCTAGAAGGAATGTTTAAATGTGAGCATGCAAAGCTACTCTAAGCACCATATTGACATAGTAATTGTAGATGAAAGAGGGAATGAATAGAGGCTAACTAGTTTTTACGGAGAATTGAATACAAGAGAGACATTAGATTTGGCAATTTTAGATAAATATGATGATACGACATGAAAATGATACGACAAAAATTGTATATATTTTAAAAAATGTGTTTCGTGTTTATTTATATCGATACGAATTTTGATATGACATAGTTTGTGTCTTATATGTATTGACATGTCAAAATATGTGTAAAACACAAAAAAACACATTTAGATAAAATGAGTTATACAAATACACGTTTAACACGTGTTATGGCACAAAAAACATGTTTAATTTAATTTTGTCATACGAGTATACATTTAACATGTTTAACACATTTTTATATTTATTTTAATTTAATATAAACATATAAAGATTATTTTAAACATTTAATTATAATACTCATTTAATAATTGTTGTAAAATTATTTTTATTTTAGTAATATAAATAAAATATAAATATTAATATTAATCATATACATCATTGTTTTATTCTTTAGTGTTTAATAGTTCATCATTTTGAATTTGATACTAAAAATTAATATAGTTATGTAATATATTAAAATTTAAATATATATTAAATACATATTAAATGAGTATTAATTTTTTTATTCTTTTTAATATGCAAGTAATATGTCAAGTTTATTAAATTGTAAATGATGGATAGTTTATAATTATTTATTATTTTAGTCGTATTTTTGTATATATTCATGTATATCTATGTTAATCGTATCTATTCGCATATATCAGTGTTATTTGTGTTTATTCGTGTCTTGTTTAAATAGATTAATTGTTTATATGTTAATTGTTTCACGTCATGTGTAACACGTATAATAAACGTGTTGTGTTCGTGTTTAAGATTTAAATATACTTTTATCATTTATGTCGTGTTTGCGTTTTAATAATTCGTGTCATTACACGTGTCAAAACGATGCAAGACACAACACGAAAACACAAATTGCCAAATCTAAGAAAGACATGTGGCATGGAGTACATTAAAAAGGCTGTCAAATTCATACCAACTAGCATGATTATGTGTTGGGGATTTCAATGAAATATTATGGGATACGAAAAAGGGTGGGGTTAAACTGAAATGGCAAATAGTAAACTTTCATAATGTACTAGAAAACATGAGATGATTTAGGACTTATCAGAGCACCATTTACATAGAGTAGGGGATCAAATAGAAGGAACATAATACGAAAAAGGCTTGACTGAGTGATAGCTTATAGCAAATGGGGGGAAATGTTTTCGAAACTATAGGGTAAGTCATTTGGCAAGCTTAGTTTTGAACCACTTTCCAATATTGGTAGACATTATAGGTCTTGAAAAGAGCCAAAATCATAGAATAAAGACAAGAAGAAAACGGTTTGAATCAATAGGGGTGTTAGAACCTGATTGTAAGTAAATTGTGAGAAGTAGATAGGAAGCGGCCAAAGAAGGTGGTTTAAATAAAAAATTGATAATGATATGAGCAATCTAACAATGTGGGCCAAAAGGAGGTTTCACAGCATGCACACAAAAATAGAAAGGCTTACTAATGAGCTATAAATCATCCAACATAAAAATGAAAATGAAGAGGTTATGCAATAAGAGAGGTAGTTAAAATAGAAAATAAATTTTTTATTGGAAAAAGAAGAGGTTTTCTAGCTACAAAGGTCTAGGTTCACATAGTTTAGGGAGGGTGATAAGAACACAAAGTATTTCCACGCACTTAAGTCCTCAAAAAGGAAAGTGAATAGAATAATTGGGTTAGAGTATGAAGGGATAGTGTGGCAAAAAGGGGAATAGGAGGTGGCAATAGTGGCTTGAAAGTATTTTAAAGAGCAATTTTAGACCCAAAGGAAATCCAATATAACAAAGATCCTTCAGGCCATAAATCCATAACTTATAATTGAGATTTTCGAACTTTTCATATCTAGTTTCACACTAATTGAGATTTACAAAGCCATAAAGCAAATCCATCCAATGAAAATGCATAGGCCTCGATGGTATGAATGCTTTATTTTATCACAAATTCTGGCACATTATAGGCGATAATGTTACTAGATTTTATTTATCAATGTTAAATGGGAAGGGTAGATTAGAATAGATAAATTGAAAAACATATTGTTCTTATCCCTAAAGTTGTTAGCCTAAAGAAAATGGCCTACTTTAGACCAATTAGCTTATACAACGTTTTTTATATAGTAATTGCAAAAGCCATCGCTAATAGGCTAAGACTAGTGTTACCCATTGCATTAGTGATACTCGGAGTGCTTTTGTCCTTGGTAGGTTGATCACTAATAATGTTATTGTAGCTTATGAACTCTTGCATGCTTTAAGGATTTAAAAGAAGGGGAAAAAATATAGAGGACTTTAAAACTAGATCTGAGTAAAACATATGATAGGGTTAAGTAAGAATTTTTGAAAGTTGTTATGGGGAGATTAGGTTTTAATGAAAAATGGATATTAACTGTTATGAAATGTGTGAGATTTGTCAAGTACAACGTGGTGATAAATGGCAATATGACAGATCTTATATGCCCAAAAATAGGATTACAACAAAAAGACCTCCAATCACCATACCTCTTTTACAGAGGGTTTATCAACATTCCTAGTCAAGGTTTAGAGGGAAAACATATTTAAAGGAGTAAGGGCTAGCGTGAATGGACCAAAGATCACTTATCTTTATTTCGTGGATGACAATCTATTGTTTATTAAAGCAAATTAAATAGAATGTTAAAAAGTGAGGTACTTGCTAAAGATCCACAAAGATGGGTTTGGGCAGATGATTAGTTATGATAAATTAGGGTTATTTTTTTGGCAAAAACACTAATAGCAACAAGCAAGAGTTAGTGATGAATATGTTTGAGATTTAAGCTACAAATAGCCTAAACAAGTACTTAGGTTTGCAAATGATTTTTGGGAAAGGAAATAAGAAGACACTTAGAGAAATTACAAATAAGTTGCAACAAAAGGTGTAGAGTTGAAGCTAGAAGTTGATTTCGGTTGGGGGTAAAGAAATCTTTGTCAAAGCTGTCATATAATCGATGGTTGTATATGCCATGTCTTGTTTTGTAAACATTCATTTATTATTATTATTATTATTATTATTATTATTATTATTATTATTATCTATTTATTTTATTTTTTTTTGTATTTTTTGTTAGCTACCGGTAACCATACTGCCAGTAGCTTTGATAGCTGCTAATCGTCGCTTTGACGGCCATATTAATCTTAGACGGCCAAAATTTAACAAAATTTCAAAAAATCTAAGATTTTGATCATTATCTGATTCTATAAATAGAGCCATAAAAGACAGAAATGAAAAGAAGAGAAAACAAAAAAAAAAAAGAACCCTAAGCCATCCAAGAAACATATTGCAAAAAAAAAAGAGGCTTTATTGAACTAAAAAAAAAACTTTCTGTCAAAAAACCCAAAACCAAAAAAAAAAAACCCAAACAAAAAAAAATTACAGTCCTTGAAATAAAAATTATCTCCGTTAGAAGCACAAAGCAAGCAAAAACCAAAAAAAAAAAAAAGACAAAAAAAAACCATTGTGGCCAAATTTTTAAGGCCAAATCTGCCTTGTTTGGAGTCATATTTTGCAAAATTAGGTCCAGATCTATATTTAGGGGTTGAGGGAAAGATTTTTGGAGTTTTTGGGTTTTTTGGCAATCAACAGACAATGATGGTGACCGACAAACAGCATGGTGCATTGGCATCGGATACAAGGAACATGGGCGGTCAACTGGGGTTTGAAGAAAAAGAGTTTGAGAGAGTGAGTAGTTAAAGAGAGAAGGGGAAGAAAAAAATGAAGTAAATTTTTTTTTTTATTTTTATAGTTAAAAAAAAGAGTAAAACGATGCCGTTTCACTGACCTAGGATCCACGCATGACTTGCAACTCAGACCGACCTATGACCCAACCTTTTTTCTTGTTGATCGGTTTGACTAAATCAATAAACCACCCTTTGACTGAGCCATTGAATTGCCCATTGACTTGTGTTGACCAATGGCATTTTAGGTATTTTTGCCATAACTTTTTCTTTTTTAATTTTTTAGCTAGTAGACACATGTGGTGATGTACAAATACTACCTGCTTTACGGATGGCAAGTTTGATATGATAAAGATGAGAGAGGCAGCTACACATTGGATACTTATGTACAGACATCTTTTTTCGATTATGAAAAAAGAAGGTTTTAACATGATGCAAAAACATAAGATGTCTAAATGGGAAAAGATATCACGTAATACTATTAAGAAAGATTACATACAAGTTTATAAAGCAGAAAAAAAAAATTAAAGGCACTGTTGAAAATTGTCAGCAAGATTAGTTTGATGACAGATTTGTGAAAGTTAATTTGATGACAGATTTGTGAAAGTTAAGTAATCAAA